ATACCACTTTTATTCCCAAAGATCGTATTCAAAACGTCATACAAAGACCATTTTAATTTAACCAATAAATCAGAATTTAAATAACATCTTTAAAATAAATACCGAATAATAAAATTAAAAAAAACCCGCATCTTCCCAAAACTATCACCAATCCACCAGACTACTCCTGAATATTTACGCGCTCACCTGCAGAGGAAAGAGGGATGAGTATTCCAACAATACTTAGTGAGCGCGTGTCCTAGGGACCCACGATATACATCTCGCACATGCACAACCATTCCAGACGAAAGTCCTAAGCTAATAAACACAGACAAACACGTCCGAAGACACTCATAGATCAAGAAATGACATCATTAGACCTAACTGGTGCATCCACGCCCCTCACCGGCGCACACCCCATAGCATATAGCGGCCCACACGCCGTCCGTTCTCAAGACGCAGGGATCGTCAAACCGCCAACGATGGACTATAGAGTCCCACACGCCTCCATATCCAAACCATATATATCAAAAGAGCTTCCTACATCTAACCCCAGCCCGCAAGTGATTGTCCCCATGTAATGCAAACACCCGCAAACACTATTCATACATCAATCAACAGTATTCCGTTTAACAACCTATGATACTAAGTTCATCATTCAACAACCGCAGGGCAATGATAATTACTATGGTGTTACTAACGCATTACTAATCAGGTTCAACCAACAATCAAATACGTGTAATCATATAGATACAACGCAGGTATGCGCGGATTAACAAAATACTACTCAATATGAAACAACTATGAATCTGAGAGAGATAGATCACGCCAGTCCTCACCCTAGTCTCAGATCGGAAGAGGATTACAGAAATGGAAGGAGATCTGGTTACTGCGGGTCCTCGCCAAACGAATCTGGGCATTACGACGGCATGGGTCCGACCCCACAGCAAATGGAAAAGAATATTAGAAAAATAACAGATCCAGATCTGGAAAAAGTAGATCCGAAAAACTAGATCTAGATCTGAAAAAGTAGATCTAGATCTGAAATGAAAAGGCTCAGATCTACTAACCACATAGTCTAAGCTGGGAGATAGCAGCATTTTCGAGAAGACGGCGCGAAGGGATACGTTCCTGGCGACTCCGGCGATTTTCCGGCGGCGGCAGCAGCGATTTTCCGGCGACGGCGAACGGCGGCGGTCGGCGGTGGTCGGCGACTCTGGCGACTGTTCCGGCGAGATGTTCTGAAGGAAACTGGGCAGAGCTTCGCTGGAAATTTCTGAATGGTTTTTTAACAAATGGGGCATCTGCATTTATAGGGGAAGGGAGCTCCAACCCTAGGTCAACTCGGAATGGGCCTTGGGCTGGTAGGCCTGCAATCTGAAATGGGCTTCTATGCACACTGTCTTATGGGTCTGGGCCTGGGATGTCACAATATGGATGCACGCATTGCTAATATCGATATTGTTTGTTCTCTTTTTTTTTTTAATGGCTCTTGATTACATTGTATTTGTAATCGAAAGCTCTATGAATTGGTTGTGTTGTCAATTGGTATATGGGGTCGTTCAATATATGATCAGTGTTGTATGTATGTAATTGACTTATAATTGACACTCATTTCTCTGGGCCATAAAATGTAAAGTGTCTCTAATTTATGAGGGGAGGTTTTGGATCCCTTCACAAATTACTTCCTATCCTCTTTCCTTAGTGTATTGTTCCATTACTCTAGCACTGTAATTATAATGTCAAGTTTGATTAGTACTGTAATTATTGGTGAAATTGGAAGGTGGGATTGTTAACTCTTTAAAAGTTATCTAATCACTGATGTTTGTTACTTTATGTTCGTTATTTTCCATCATGTTCACTTATTGTAAGTTTATACGATGGAAGTCTATAGGCTGTCTCACCTTGTTATTCTCTCAAACAAATGTTCCTATATTCTGTCTCCTTGATTATAAATTGGAATTTATGAGATAGGGTGATAGACATATCAGATTATGCAGGCCAATACAGTAATATGTAAGTTTAGATTATATGAACAAAACATTTGTGAAATGATAAGCATCTGAACTTGGTGAAAAAGATATATTTACATAACTGTCACTATTAAGCACTTATTTTTCAGTTATCTCATGAACCCCCATCTTGAACTTATCTGCGTCTATGTTCAAACTTGTTTTCTAATGTAAACACGGGCTTCTGGAAATCTGTTTGTGTTTCTCTTAGATGTTCAAACATTGTATTTGTTAGTATATTAGTTCTTATGAAATCTCTGTTTTCCCTATATATTTACGTAAATTTATGTTAAATCTCATTTATAAATATTTAACAGACCTTATACCCTCGGTAGTCCTCGAAATGCCTCTTTGTAGACAATGTTTGAGACACAATTCGTTCTTTGTTTGTTGCTGGAAGTGTCTAGGATTTGAAGGCCCTTTTGAAGATGTGACACGTGACAAAGCTACATAGAGCTGACCATGGCTGAAGACCGGGTTTGGCAAATATAAAGAGACTTTATTTAAGGTTTGTCCCTGACTTTTATTTATTGTCATCGCATAGCACATACATACTGGGAACTGCCTTCTTTTTAGAATGAAAGGATGCTTTGAATCGGTAGGTGATAATATAATCCTTGGGTTTAAAACTTTCTTCTTTTCTGTTGTGTTCGATAGAATTTCACCTTTGATGACTCTTTCTCCCAAATGAGTGACTATCAACCTTGTTCTGTTGCATAACCCTTCTCTCTGGTTTAGAATTCTGAGTAACATTACTAGGACACCAATTTTCAGATATAGGCGATGTGTTGGCAAACCTGGAAACTCTTAGGCGTTTAGATATTCCGTAGGATATGAGATCTCATAATCACCATCATGTATTTCATCGTGGCTTGTAGAATCACAACTTAAATACTCTTTCTCTAAGCCTGGCACCTTAGATAGCAGGAAAGAGTTGATCTCATCTACAGTTTGATTTCTTGGAGTTAAAATTGCTATTTCTTTAAGCTTGTCCAAATCTTCAAATGAGCTACTAAAATCTGGGTAACCAGACTTGCATAGCTTCTCCAAATGGTGCTTTGTCCGTGGTAGCATTATGTTTTCATCAATCACAATGCTATCTTATTCTGTATAATCATCCAGGCCCTCGTTCACCTTCTTTGCTACCCCATCTCTGACTTGGAGAATCCATTTCGAAAATTCCTTTTCCTCTTCTTTCACTCTCATGTTTTTTTGTTAGCAAGTATTGTTGACATGATTGCTAGAGGTATGACCGATTAATTGCAGCGCCGACTATTTCTTGTCTGGTTCCTTGTGGTATAACCGGTAAAATTTGTCTGAAATCTCCGTCTCGAAGAACTGTTTTCTCACCAAATGGTTTATCAGGTTGTGATAAAATGTCCCTTATTGTTCGATCAACTGCCTCAAACGTATGGCGATGTGCCATTTAGCCTCGTCCCAAATTATGAGATCAACTTTGCATATATTAGTTGCTAGCATTGACCCCGCTTTAACCTCACATACAGAATCTTCATGCACATTGATAGGTATTTTAAACCTTGAATGTGCTGTCCTTCCTTTTGGTAGTAACAGAGCTGCGATGGCTGATGATGCTACTGGGATGACCTTTTTCCCAACCGATCTCAGTGATAAGATAATCATTTTGTACAAAAACGCTTTTCTTGTGCCTCCGGCTCCATACAAAAAGAATAGTCTCCCTTCTTCATTTGTGACAGATTTTAGGACATCCTCATATATTTTTTTTTGTTGGTTGTTGAGTTGGGAAAATAACATTTTATGTAGCGAAATATCGTATTGAAACTCTTGTCTTTGTTAATGTTTTTGTAGTTCCTCCAAAATGGTCTTGCTTGGCCGAGGCATGTCTGGAAAATCTGTTAGTGACTTTTCATGCATTTGGAGTAGAGTTTCAATTTCCAGCAATGTGTACTGCTTTAGTTGTTCTGAATTGAGTTTAAGCTCAGGAAAAATGAGAAGACATTGTTGCTTCCGGAGTACATCATCTGTCACAATTTTCCAACTATGTTCCCAAAGCTTTCCGGGTTATGCGACTTCACAAGAAATCAATAGTAAGACAAATAAGCTTATCAGTAGGTTTGAACTTGCCCACTGTGATGCTTCATCCATACACTTATGCCATTCTTTATCCCCATCCAGTACTCCCCTTGCATAACATACAGCTTTGAAATCATCATATTTGACTCCTCCGACTGTTAATAAATCATCAAAACCAGTGGCCCCCCTTGTAATGTTCAGCAACATCCGAAGATAGTATTGATCACCAGCAGTTGGGTGGATGTTTATAATCCTTCCAATGGTTTTGGTTTTGGTCTTTCTTTGGGAATACAATTTATATGTATTACCCCACACAATGTTGGGACATCTCAACATACTTAAACTTCCTGAACTCTTCGTAGAGCTTATTCATCTCAAACCATTTCTATTAGCATTGTCCGCCTAGAGCTGTACCGAAATTCAAAATCTTCAAGATTTTCAGTTTCTTCAAAGACTGCAGTTTCTTCACCAGAAAGGTGGACAGGAAGTCGCTGTACTGCTGGATTGTGTTGGTGAATATTGAATTTGAAAATTCTCCAAATTGTTTCACACCCTGATAAGTACCGACAATCAAGATAATCAGTTATCTCATCTCGACTCTTGTCTTTTTTTTTCTCCTAAACTGGCATTATTTCCTTTGTGGATAGTAAATGTTGTTCTGTCAACTCTTTTTGTAATGTATTTGAAGAGATACTTGATTGCGCTAGACTTGTTGCACCATTCCACATTAATATGTGCTTTGTACTTCTTGAAAATTGCCAGATTGTGAGGAACTACATATCAATTATCCAGCTTTGTTGTCCCATTCATTATGTATGTGCCCAAAAATTTGCAGCCGCATCATCCCAGAGAGATAGGTAGATAATAACAGAGCTGTGTTTAGAATTTAAATGAAGTGTTACTTTGGTTGTTATTAATTATTGAGTCGTAAACTAATATTGAGTTTATGTAGACTTACGTATCAATAAGGAACCACACCACCAAGGGTTGCATGGAACTTGGGTTGTCAAGATTTGAGCCTTGCACAAAACGTATTTAGCCAACCACATCTGAGTTTAGGGAATGAGTGTTCTAGTAATATTTTATAAAATCATTGTTGTATAATTGAAAAGAGATTAGATTATTTTTACCAGGGAGTTCGAGATTTGTGTTCGCCAAAGCTTGGAGGTGGTCAGAGTTGCGGAGCAAAAATTTTTCATGCTTTATGGAAAGGCTGACGTCAGATGCCTGAGCAATTGTGGTGGAGGCGATGAAATGTAGTACGAAAGGATGATCTGTGATCTTGTATACCTTTGTGCACCTGCCAACTTCAAATCCTCCAATGTTGAAAATGGCATCCTCAATTAAAGTTTGACGGTATTGGTTTGCAAGTGAGGCAGGTATGAATCCATGAATTACATAAATATAGAAGAATAAGTAAGTAGTGTGTGTGTGTGTGTGTGTGTGTGTGTAGGTCTAAGAAATGCAAGTGAGTAAAGTAGAAGTCTTACCTTCTCATCAAGGAGAAGTAATACGATTCTCAGAAATTCTCCATTTTTGTTGATGTTGCGAGCGTCCCAGAAACGGATTAGCCTGCCAACAACTTGTTGAGTAGAACGGCCAAGACGAAGATCTTCAAAAATTGTGTAATTAGCAGAGGCAGGAATGGCGACAACATTAATGGCAAACATGGTTGGTGGTTTTTTTGGTTGGCAGTGTTTGCAAGTGAAGCTATGGTGATTTTTGGTGTAGGATGAACTATTTATAGTCATATTTTTAGGTAACATAGGAGGTGTAATTGATGAAGGTTAGGGAATAGTCGGATGAAATCACAGAGTGTGAGAGAGTTGAGTCAATCATGAAGAGTTATTGTGGATTTAAGAAAAGAAAACAATTGTTTTGCCAATAGTTGATCTCGAATGTTTGATTGTAGAAAGGTGAAGGGTGCATATATGTTGATTTTTTGGCAGTTATGTTTCGTAGTAATAAGTGTAAGAAATAATAACATCTTGGATGTGTAGGGAGACGATAGTTCTGGTTAACACAAAACGAGAAGACGCCGCATTGTTGGCTGTTCGTTTTTCTAGTTATAAAATTGAGATATGATTTGTCCATAGAAAAGTGGGAAGCCCATTTCAATGTAAAAATACGACGGATGTATAAGGGTATCATACTAGCGTGTCATACTCATCCCACTCCTCCTGAATGTCACGGAATGCACAGGTATCCCGCGCTATCTCCTGCTTCGGAGTTCCTGTCCAAGCAACTCCGGAAGCGATGTTCCGATCCTCTCGCTTTGGCCATGGAGGCCTGCTAACTGGGTAATTGCTGTCTGACTGTGCTGAACCAGATGCAGTGCTCGAAGACGAGGCATGTCACTGTCTCTTCTCATATCGAGGCATCTGAAAATTCAAACCAAATGTGGCAAAGTGTCCAGCATACTCTGAGCCATGACAGTGAAACAGGACGTCTGGAATCTCTGCTTCTGCTAAGCCTCTCCTGTAAATCCTTTCAGCACAATGTCTGTAAATATATGGCTCATCCCAATAGAATCTCCTAAGTTCTCTCTATAACTTCTTGAAATTCTCTGGTTCATCCTCTGCAGCAAGATAATTGGCAATGTCAGCATACCATAGTCTCTTTGGATCATTCAAAGCATATACTTGCTCTTGAAAAGCTGTTCCCAATCTTGCACAAATCATAGCTAGAGTCTGAGATTAGTGACGAGCATCACCAGGCGGGGTGGCGAGCGTCACCAGCTTTGTACAAAAAGTGGGTCGTGACTGTACTTTGTTGGTGACGAGCGTCACCCCCCCCCCCCCCCCCCCCCCCCCCCCCCCCCCCCCCCCCCCCCCCCTCGGTGTCAACAACTTTGGCTTTGCATCCTTCTTCTGCATCAGATACTTCAGTGCTGAATGGTCAGTATGGAACACGACCTTGGAGACAACAACATACTGCCTGAATTTCTCAAATGCAAAGACTACAGCCAAGAGTTCCTTCTCAGTTGTTGCATAGTTCTTCTGAGCTTCATCCAATGTCCTACTGGCATAGTAGATGGCGTGTAGCTTCTTCTCTATCCTATGTCCCAGCAGTGCTCCAACTGCAAAATTTCTGGCATCACACATCACTTCAAAAGGTAAGTCCCAATCTGGAGGCTGCACAATATGAGCTGTAACCAAAGCCTGTTTGATCTGTTCAAAATCAGACTTGCATTCTTCTGTGAATTCAAACTTCACATCTTTGCAGACGAAAGCAGTAAGAGGTCTTGCAAACTTGCTGAAGTCCTTGATGAATCTTCTGTAGAACCCAACGTGACCTAGAAAACTCCTCATTACCTTTACTGAATCAGGCGCTTGCAGACTGTCATCACTTCAATTTTCGCCCTATCCACCTCTATACCATCTCCTAAGACCCTGTGACTAAGAACAATTCCATCTTGTACCATAAAATAGCACTTCTCCCATTTTAGAACCAAGTGCTTCTCTTCACATCTCTGCAGAACTGCACACAAGTTGTCCAAGCAGCTCTTGAAGGAAGACCCATAAACTGAGAAGTCATCCATGAAAAAAACCTCCATTAACTTCTCAATCATGTCACTGAAGATCGATATCATGCATCTCTGGAAGGTTACATGAGCATTACACAATCCAAAAGGCATACTGCGATATGCAAATGTGCCATAAGGACAGGTAAAGGTGGTCTTCTCCTGATCATCTGGATGGATAGAGATCTGAAAGAAGCCTGAATATCCATCAAGGAAGAAATAATACTTGTGATTCGCCAGCCTCTCAAGCATCTGATCAATGAAAGGTAGAGGTAAGTGATCTTTCCTTGTGGCTGCATTCAGCTTCCTGTAACCGATGCACATCCTGTGTCCTGTCACAGTTCTGGTTGGAATCAGCTCATCCTTGTCATTCTTCACCATTGTGACTCCTCATTTCTTAGGGACCACTTGCACTGGACTGACCCAAGCACTGTCTGATATGGGATAGATGATCCCGGCGGATCCGCCCATTCTCTCTCCACTGGAATCTTCAATACCTCTCTCTTAGGCCATGGTGGAAGAGAGGGGATGACTGGCGCGGGATTAGAGGACTCGCCAGCCTCAGTGCGTGTTCTCTTGCTGGTCCGCAGAGCCATCTACAAGCAGAAAACCAAGAACACAAAATTTTCCAAAATCAGGCCAAAAATCAAAAATTCGAAAATTCAAAAGCTGGCCTATATCATCAATGTCGAGCATCACCAGCAACTTAATGACCACTAATCACAAACAATTCCAGTTTAAAACCCCATAATCGGACCTATTTTTGCAAAATAAATCACCAACTTGAAAATTTCAATATTTTGCAAAATCAAGCATAAAAAGTAAGGGGCAATGCCGAATTACTCCTAAACAACCTTGAGAAGCATGATTCAAGTCACAAATCAAGCTAAAACAGGGTGAATCGAAGCTTTCAAACCTTGGGATCGAACTGAAAAGATGGGATTTCGAGTGTCATACCTTGTAGATCAGATGAATGAGTTATATATTCAGTATCAGCACAGAATTTCGCCCAAGTTAGGATTTTGAATCACTCAAATCCGTCAAGAAACAAGAAAGTTGTGATTGTGTTCTTTGCGGTTGGGATAGAAAGAGAGAATGAAGAAGATGAGTTCGGGTTTTATTAGAGAACTTACCCGATTAATGGTGGTGTCGATCAACACTGGTCCGTGTCGACCGTGGTCGATATCCCTTCGCCACAGGATAAAAATTAATCATCCTGCGTGATTTTTTTTTACTGAATATTGACACGAAAATCAGTTAGAAAAAACTAAAAATTAGACTAAGTATGTACACTTACCAGTGGGTTGCGTCCCACCAAGCGCTCGTTTAACGTCATTAGCTTGACTGTCCTCAGGATCAGGCAGTGGGTGCGTCAGCCAAAGGCATAATCTGTCCTTCGGGAATCGCGGCTTTTGCCCAATAGTGCTTTGCCTTTTGTCCATTGACAACAAACTCTCTGCCTTCAGGAGTTGATAAAACAACTGCACTGTATGGTCTGACCTCCTAGATGGTGAAGGGACCTGACCAACGAGAACACAATTTCCCAGGAAACAATTATAAACGTGAGTTATACAGGAGTACATAGTCATTTGGTTCAAAGTGTCTGTCAAGGATCTTCTTGTCATGATATGCCTTAGTCCTCTCCTTGTACAGCTTGGAGTTCTCATAGGCATAATGTCTGATCTCATCCAGCTCATTCAACTGTATCTGCCGCCTCTCTGCTGCAGGTTTCCAGTCAAAGTTCATCTTCTTGACATCCTAGTTTGCCTTGTATTCCAGCTCCACTGGAAGATGACATGCTTTCCCATAAAGCAGGTGGAATGGTGTGGCGTCAAGTGGTGTCTTGAATGCTGTCCTGTAAGCCCAAAGTGCATCATCTAGCTTGGCTGACCAATCTTTCCTTGTCTTTCCCACTGTCTTCTTCAGAATTTCTTTGATCTGTCTGTTGGAAACCTCAACCTGACCACTTGTCTGAGGGTGGTAAGGTGTAGCAACTTTGTGATGAACTTCATACTTCTGTAGCAGCTTCTCAAACACTCTATTGATGAAGTGTTTTCCACCATCACTGATCACAATCCGTGGTACTCCAAATCTGGGAAAATGTTGGTCTTAAACAGCTTAAGGACCACTGCAGAGTCATTGTATGGACTGGCAATTGCTTCTACCCACTTGGACACATAGTCCACAGCAACCAAGATGTACTTGTTCCCATAGGATGAAGGAAATGGTCCCATGAAATCGATGCCCCAATAGTAAAAAACTTCAACCTCAATTATGAAATTCTGTGGCATCTCATGTCTCTTACTGATCTTCCCTCTCCTTTGACAGACATCACATTGAGATATGAATGTCTGAGCATCTTTAAATATTATAGGCCACCAGAAGCCTGCTTGTAGAACCTTGGACACTGTCTTGAAGGTAGCAATGTGCCCAGCATACTCAGAACCATGACAGTGGAACATCACATCCTGCACTTCAGCTTCTGCAAGACATCTTCTGTAGATTCCATCAGAACAATGCTTGAACAAGTAAGGCTCATCCCACTAATATCTGCTAAGTTCCCTCATGAATTTCTTCTTCTCATAACCTTTTAGGGTGTCAGAGACCTCATCTGCAGCTAGGTAATTCGCAATGTCAGCATACCAAGGCCTAGAAGAAGTTGCAACCGCACAGATATGCTGAGAGAAAACATCACACATGATCTGTTAAAGGAGAAGTGCAGTTCGATCGACACCAAAGAGGGTGTGTCGATCGACAGAAGTCTGTGTCGACTGTATGGCGAGCCTGGTGTCGATCCTGCTCGATATTAGCTCGCTTCGAGGGTGGTGTCGATCGACACCAGAGGTGGTGTGTCAATCGACACTGCTTCTGTAGCACGAAAAGGCTGCAGTTCTTCAACATCTGGTTCCTGCAATGTTGCTTCTAGGAAGTAGACGTTCTCCTCTGGCAAGAAATCATCAATAGGGACTTCGTCTTCAACTCTGATCCTTGAAAGATTATCAGCTACTCCATTCTCAATCTCTTTCTTATCTCTAACCTCAATATTAAACTCTTGAAGCAGCAAAATCCATCTCAACAGTCTTGATTAGGCATCTTTCTTCTGCATCAGGAACTTGAGAGCGGAATGGTCTGTATGCACAATCACCTTAGCTCCAATCAGGTACTGTCGAAATTTCTCAAATGCAAACACCACAGCCAACAATTCTTTCTCTGT